TTCTCACAAGGGGTCATGTCATTAAGCGATGGCTGACAGAGCCGTTGCCCATCTCCCATCTTGCTTTCCCACATTCACCAAAACTGGACAACGGATTGTCATCCCCGAGGGCTGGTTTTTATCCTTTATGGGAGGGGCCATCACCTTCCAGTCTTACTCCCGAGCCGCCCTTGCTGCTTCAGCTGCTCTTTCTTTCGAGCAGCGCTGCGTGCACACACACTGGGCACAGGCTCCCCGGGGTCCGAAGGCAGCACCCCACTCTCGGATAGTCCAGGCCCCATCCCTGAATCACACGCAGGCCCCTCGTCCGAGTCCTCACTATTGGAGACCTCTGCCATCCTCACCTGCTGCCGGCGAATCACAACATGGACGGCTTCTATCATGTCTCCCCTCTGCCTTCTCTTCATTAGGCTAAACCACGCTAGTTCCGTTAGCCATTCATGGCATGATTTAGTCTCCAAGCCCCTTATCATTTTTACTGCTCTTCTGTGCACTGGAGCTTCAGCCTCTTTTCTGAATCACAAGTGTGATCTCACCACTGCACTATGAAGCATTACTATTGCTTCCTGTGATCTTGATGCTATCCCTCAGCCTAGAACCACACTGGCTTTATTTTTGGCAGCTACAGCACAGGACTGACTTTATAGAATACTGGTTTTATTTGTTTGGGGGTGGGGAAGAGCAAGAAATTCAGTTTCACCATTGAAAGTGATGAAATGCTAATGGAACTTCTGGGGGTTTTTTTGTGGGGGGGGGGGGAGGCACTCCCTGATATACATAAAAGGAAGTAACTTGCCATTTCTTTTAAAAGAGACATGGGAAATCTTCTAGCCCTCTCAATGTTGCCAAACCAGAATTCTCAACATCCCTCATCATCCTTCGGGAACATCTGGATGGCCACAAGTTCTCCACCCTTTTTAAAATAAAGCATGATTAGGAGAGCCATGTCCTTCACCCACCACAATCTGGTCTTTGAAAATCAGAAGACTTTATCTTTAGTTTAGTTAATCCTCACGGTTCCTGTCTTGATAGACCAACCCAGTCATCTTTTTTGAAGGTACGAGAAATGAAGACATTGCATTTTGTGCCTGAAAGTAGCTATACAGACATAATTCTATGTTTGCCTGAAGTTTCTAGATGGGAAAGCTGGACAGGGGGCAGGGTTAGAAAGGAGGGGTCCTTGGTGCTCTCTGAGCCTTTTTTGTTTTCTTGCAGACATTTCATTAGTCAAACTAGGTAACATCATCAGTGCTAATACTAATACAAATATTCTCCTTTAAGGTTTAGAAAGAAATGGTTACGTCTGTTCTAGCCAATCCAAAGTACTTACTATCCTGACCAGAGGTAATTTTATGTCTTTATATGTTTTTTGAAGCATGCTGCATAAAAATCGTGTGTGCTTAGAAAACATGAAGAAACAGTAGATGATGAGAAACCTGTTACTGTGAAAGCTCTAGGGGAAGGAGTTGTTTTTTAATAGTATTGCAATGCTACTATGATTGAAGTAGGTGTGATAACTAAATTGCTTGATCTGGCCAGAGACGGTCCTGTTTTAAGCAACATAATCTTGGAAGCAAGATAGAAAGGTAATACCAATTATTTACAGCTGTTTTGAGACTAGTTATACTTTATAATTTTCATAAGTTCATGAAACATAAATATATAATATTCAAATAATAATTGATTGACAGATTGTATAAAGGCACAGAAGTGGCAATGCATATTAAACAAATTAAAACATTGAGGTATCAAATAACTCTTAGGTACAAAGCAATAAATGTACTCAAGCTAGTTTATACATATCCTTTGCCTAAAGCAATGTTTAAATCAACAATTATACAGTAGTGTTTAAGTTGAATACAAGGTGGTTCTGTTAGATAAGAATAGGTTATAATTTGAAAGTATATTTATTTCACTTCTGTCTTCTCAGACTCCTTTAAACCTCAAATTCTTCTCTGGTAAAGTCTCTTCCTTAGTTCTACTTCATAATTACAGAACACCAACAAAGCTTTTAGTTCTTCGAAGATTTGGCTTTCAAAACGAATTATATTTTAAGTCTTTTACCTTTGTATCTTTTCACAACAATTTTATTTTAGGGTTCTAGGAGAATAAAGTTCTTACATTTAGCAATTCCTTGTTTAATTACTTGACTGTCCTGTGACTAAACATATTGATTATTTTTAACACACCAGAGCAAGCAGTTTTTTTTTTTTAGTGTGAGTTGGGTACATATAATATGTTTTGTGGGCATAGGACAAAGTATGGCAATTGCCCTCTTTACAGAGTCTTACATCCTAGAGGCAAGAGGAATAAGGAAACCTCATATATTGTGCTATAACAACTTAAACACTTGATGAAATTATCCTGCAAATCCAAAAATGAGATAAACAAAAGAACCTTAATGTCAAATTTGTAGTATATTATATACTGCAGTGGAGTCCTAAAAATTAATCACTACAGTTGTTCAACACAGTGGTAGTTGACAGGGTTGACCTGAATTGCCATCTTTGGATTGTGCTTTAAGTAGTAGTAGTATGGTGGGAGTGGGCATTTCACTGAATGTTACCAAAACAAATTGTGTCTCTGCAAACTAATTGTATGCTAGAGGGGGGAGAAAAGTGAAGTAGCTTTAATGATAGAGAGAATGTGCTTTTTAAAAAATAAGAACAAACTTACAGGTAAAATGCTACCATGAAAGGTTGGAAGAGAAACTTGGGATCACAAAAGAAAGACACCAGCCTTTTGGTGTATCGGACTCTGACCCTTCCCTATATTTTTATACCCAGATTTGTTGATGTTTTGTCACTGTGCCTTGATGTATTTGATCCCTTCCCCAATATCCGTAGGTGATTATGTGCATTTTGATGTGCATAGTTTTTTAAAATGTTTTTGTACATCAAAAGTATGTTTCTTTTATTAGCTATATTTAATAACCTATCTATGATGCGTAACGGAGTGAGCTCCCGTTACTTGTCCCGGCTTCTGCCAACCTAGCAGTTCGAAAACATGTAAAAATGCAAGTAGAAAAATAGGAACCACTTTGGTGGGAAGATAATAGCACTCCATGCACCTTCGGCATTTAGTCATGCTGGCCACATGACCATGGAGACATCTTTGGACAGCACTGGCTCTTCGGCTTTCTAATGGAGATGAGCACTGCCCCCTAGAGCCAGAAATGACTACCATGTATGTGTGAGAGAAACTTTTACCTTGATAACCTATCTATTCCTTGACCCTGTCGTCAAGGAATTCCAGCTGGTGGGGTCCAGGGGAAAAGCCTTTTATGCTGTGGCTCCCACCCTGTGGAACATTGTGCCCCTCAAGGTGAGATCCACCTCAACCCTGTTGGCCTTCCAGAAGTGCCTCAAAACCTGGCTTTGCTGATTGGACTGAGGTTCCAATAGGCACGTCCCATACTGGAGGTGATTAGTGGATTAAAAAAAAAGATACCAACCTGTTGTCCCTATCTTAACTAACTGTGTTGATTTTAACATTAAATTATATTAATGTTTTACATTGTTGTCTTTGTTATGTTGTAAACCGCCCAGGGTTGCTTGACAGCAAGATAGACTGCATTTAAATTTAATAAATAAAATAAAGATATACCAGCCAGCTACCAGGATCCTAGGTATGGTTTGAGGTATATTTCACAATCCCAAATAGATTTTGTGTTGAAAAAGTTAAAATGATTTTGCTTCATGACAGCATAATTTAGTAACATTAAACAGAAGCCGAAAAATGAAATGGAGTATTTTTTTGTATTTATTGTTTTAAATACATTTTTAAAATTAAATCCTTGAAAAACATTAATCTTATAATCGTACTATGACAGGGCCAGATTTGCTTTTTTAACAGGCAGTATAATTTGGCCATTCCAGCTTAAATTAGCAGATTACCATTGGATTAGTCTACTAAAGTAAATAGGTACTGCTAGTATTCCTACTTTTACTATGTTGTATTTCATTCAATTTTATTAAGTCTGATAAAATATGAAGATTCTGTTTGCAAAATTTTAAAACAGCTTTGACTGAGTTGGGGTAAGAGAGAAATATCTTCGTTGTTTATTGGGCACATCTTGACCGTATGCCCAGAATTCACCGAAATGCCATTTCTGTGATGCAGACATCCAGCTAGAACAGGCAATATGTTCCTGAAATATTGGACTCTGTACTTTTGTGGATCAGCCATAGACACAGCATGGCAAGAGTCAAATGGAGGCCAGAACAAACGATGAGTGAAAATTGCTCTTCTGGCAAAATCTTGGCACAGAGCTTGCTTCATCTCATTAATCAACGCTATCCTAATGTATCTTCCGTGGTTCCTGTAGCAGGAATGCTGTGTAGAATTCTCACACAAAGAATTCTGTGTAGAATTCTTTGGCCATCTTAGTCAGGAAATGGTATAAAGAAATGGTGAATACTACATCTTATATGGAAAAATCTTGCTGCTTTAATATACACATGAGAATTGTCCCATCATAATCAAATTATTTTGGTGCTTTAAGGTGTACATTGTATTAAAGGGTTCAGAAATGAAGCAGACTATGTTCATTAAGAGCCTCCTTTTGAGCATCGAATCAGTACACTATAATTAAACCTTTTCTGTTTTTTAGAACCTCTGTCAAGCGATCGACTCAATCCTGTGCTGGGATAACAGACTTTGGGTACCAGTAAAAGGCGCCACAGTGTGGCACCTTTGACTTTTGTCCTGCGTCTTTGATATATTTTTCATGTTTCTGATAGCAATTTAAGCTACTCTCCCTGGAAATCAAATTTGCACAATTTGTCCATAGACTTTATTATCCTTAAAAATATTCCTGGAGCTAAACATTTAAAAAACAATCGGCAGGACAGTAATTTTCCATGTCTTTGGAGTTACGCTGCTCTTTGTATCTGTCTTTGGGGATATAGTCTTCATTTTGTTGTGCTATCTAGAGCATGTTGAAGAATAATTGGAAAAGCACCCTGACTAATAAAAGTTACTTGCTGTTTCTATTCCAGGAAAGCCCAACAGTACTGGCAACTCTGAACGGATTCAGCTCTCAGGAATGTACAATGTTAGAAAAGGGAAAATGCATTTGCCGGTCAACAGATGGACAAGACGCCAAGTTATCCTTTGTGGGACGTGCCTAATAGTATCATCGGTGAAAGAAAGCCAGGCTGGAAAAATGCACGTGCTCCCCTTAATTGGTGGAAAGGCAAGTTGACAATTTCAGTGTGTGTGTGTGTGTGTGTGTGTGTGTGTGTGTGTGTACATTTATTAAAATGAATAACACATCATCAAAATCACGTATTTTAAAAATAGAGTAATACTAAAGGAATTAAACAAACCAAGAAAAAAAACGCCAGAGCAGTATTAAGAAATAAAACCATGGGCCGGTTCTTCACTGTTTCCAGAGTAGCCGCATAGACCAGATCTAAGTACTCCATGGGCCGGATCCTCCCCACCCCCGGGGCCCTGAGTTTGACACCCCTGATCTAGCATGTCAAAAGAGTGGATAATTTTCTCCAAAAATTGTATTACAAATCACAGTGAGCAGAACTGCTTCTTTGCAAAACTTATTCTAGTTGTTGCTACCAACCCTGATAGCTATATACTACTTAAGGATTTAGAAGCAAAGGCTTCCAGGGTTCTTCAATTAGCAACTCCTAATACCTTACTTGGGGGTTTCCTAGGAAAGAGAACACTGGACCCAGATAGGCATGAAAAGCACAATTCATTTGAACTCTTCATTTAGCCTTGAAAACATGAATATAATCTTTTTGGTTAAAAACAATGCTCAGTATATTGTTATTCTAGTACGCTGCAAATATTCACAGAACATTTTTAGATTTTGGTAAACGTCATAAGGGATTTGATTCTTTATTAGCAAAGATAGAAGATACAATCTGATATGCAACATTCTGGGAAGTCAGAGTAGAGATGGGGAGATGCATTTTCATGTATCTTTGAAAATACCAGCTAATTCTTATGTTCACCTCTACATCAGGAGTACAGACTACATACTGCTGTACTTGAACTTCAGCTTTGTACAGCCAAATTCATCCAAAGATAGTATATGCTAGTGGCCCCCAAACTTTCTTCTAGGTTCAGAAGAAAAATTGTCTTCCATGCGCTGGGGAGGGATGGTTTCATGTGCAACCTAGATCCTGCACATGCTTTGCTCATTTGCCCGCCACTTGCATAGCCCCGGTTCCCAGCATGCCATGGACTGGTACTGGTCTGTGGTCCTGGGATTGGGAACCCCCGGAGTATGCAATGAACTGGAAAAACAGAAGTCATCCCTGTGACAATTTGTTAGTTTAAAAGGTCTGGCAGTAAAATGGATTGAATTTTCCTAAAACTGTTTAATTAACAATGAAATCCTATGCATCATATATTTGAAATTACGGCCCATTATACTACTTGAAGCTTATATGATCTGAAGACTTATGACAACTTTTGGTTTGTTTTGGCCCAATGAAATGAGCTAAATTTTGCAATTTCATACTCTTTTATTAAATGTATACATTTTTTGTTATGTGTACATTTCTTCTATACTATGTATACATTTCTTTTGTTATGTTGACAGCCTATCTATCCTTGCGGCTTTTTTTTTCTTAACTGTATTTTTAGTTAATTAATATTTTAGAAGTTTAACCTCTGTCTTAGAAATTATTTTTTATTTAAAAAAAACTATGTATTTCCCTCCATCCCCATGCAGGTAGAAGAAGTTAAAAAGCACCAACACTGTTTAGCATTTAGCTCATCTGGACCTCAAAGTCAGAGTTACTACATCTGCTTTGACACTTTCACTGAGTACTTGCGGTGGCTTCGGCAAGCTTCAAAGGTAACATTTTTGTAGTTATTTGGTATTTATTTACTTATATCTTGCCTTTATTGTTATTTTTTTATAAACAAGAAACATATCTAGCACTCCTTTTTGTGGTGGTCATTAAGTGAGTGTCACAATTAGAAAGGGAATGCCATGGTCAGTGTCATGGTTATTTGGCGAATTCATTGTTATGGATCAATTTTTGCCAGAAACTGGAAGTAAACACCAGTTTCTGGCAAAAACATCAGAAACCACGGTCATGTAACATTGAGTGCTGCAAACAGTCACAAAGATGGGCAGTTGCCGAGTGTCTAAAATGCAACCACATGGCTGGGTGGGGTGGGGGGCAACATAGGAAGTTTGAAATTGGGTTGTAAGTCCCTGTTGGGAAGAGTCTGTTGTAACTTCAAATGGTCTGTAAGCGACCGGTCGCAAGTCAAAGAGCTGTATTCAGTTGCAAGTGAAACAAGATATTCTTCATCTCTTTCATTGTCTAAAATACATTATAACTGTGAATTGCGGATAGACTTGAATAATGCATGGTGTGCAGTAGTTATGCTGTTGGGCAGGAAGCTAGGAAAGGGGAGATGCTGATTCAAATCGCCCTCAGCTCTGGAAGCTCACTGAGTGACTTTCAGCCAGTAGCTATCTCTCAGATCAATCTGCCTCACGCGTTAATTTTTGTGGGGGAAATTGGAGAAAGAAGTGCTGGGTGAATTGGTTTAAGCTCCTAAGGAGAATCACACAATAGAGATATGTGACTACATTAATTCTTGCTGCCCTTTCTCTGAGGTAGCTGTTGTCTTAATTAGTTGTAATATCTTGCGCTGAAAAGTAAGGCAAAGAATGACATTCAGAAATATAGGCAGAAAGATTGGAAGTTGCTAGCTTTTTAAGTTCCTGATTGCACAAGATTACTTGGTACCATCCTGTGCTTTCTCTTTGTTCAGCTGGGTTGGGAAACTGCCAGTGTAAGCCCATTTCGTTATGTAATCACAGCAACATCTTCTTTTCTTTGAATGCTGAGATATATAAACCTGCTAGTGTGAGCCAGTGTAGAAATAGGCAAACTTTTAAAAGCCTTTTGTTTAAAGAAAAAAGAAAAGCAACACGTTTTTTGGTATTATGGAAATGCAAATGTTTGTAAGAAATGTAGCAGATGTTTAAATTGTAACTAAAAAGAGATGTTTATTTAAGTAAAAGGTGATACGGTAAATCGCTTCAGCCCATAATAAAATTCTTGTTTTTAATTTGAAAACCTTTGAGAAAAGATTGGCCTGTTGTTAAGCATTGATTGTTCTAAAAATTTCTGAACTAGTTTTTGAAGTGTTTTGAATGGAATCTTTTCTAAGAGCTTCATAGTTCTAGAAAATTACCTATGAGTTCATGGTGAAATGAAAGCAGAGATTGAGCTCCCATTGTCAGTACATAACCAGGATATTATCTAAAGCTGTGTCCATCTCTTAGAAGGTTGATCTGTTAAACAGCTCTGAAGGCCTAATAATCCAGATAACTGCTGATGAAGGGCCCTTGTAGTATCTCCTATATTACTCATCCTGTTTAGCAGAGAGCCTCTGTATATCATAATTGTACACTAAGAACTAGGAATTCTCACCAGGAATTTTTTTTGTATCTTTAAGTTGAGATATTTTAGTGGTGTATGTATGTCACTAACAAGGTATGGAAGTCAACAGGAAAGCTTCCCGATAGTGCATAATTTGTCCCTAGATTTCTCTTCTTAAATTGAGATTTGTGAAGCAAACTAATGTTATTTGAGAAATTCAGAGGAGACAAAACCTCAGATATTTGTTTTTAGCCCTATTCTCTCAAAGCAACTTTTTAAAAAAACTTTATTGAGAATTTGTACTTTAATAAAAGAAAAATAAATATATAAAAGAAGGAAAGAAAAGGAAAAAATTGCAGGGAACAAAACCATCAAAAGTTAAAAAAAAATTAAGGAAGTGACCTTCATTTCAGCAGTTACAGTCCAAGCTGCTATCCCTGTTCTCTCTTAAACATAATCCCTTCCTTCGTCCTCTCATTCAACACATTTTCAGTTGTCCAGCCTAAAAGGAAACATTTTAGCTCTTTAGCATTCCACAAAGTTCCTTGTTTATTTGATCTTCCATTATGGGAATTTCAATATATCTTCATTCTATAGACATGTAATATTGTTGCCGGCTGACAGAATCGTATTTTCTTCTGTGAATTTTTTCTGTCATATACAAATACATTTTTCTGGAGTGATTCAACAATTCTTCTTTGTATAACTTTCACTCCCTTTAATAATATATTTTTCTTTATTTCAAATTTGTGATCTATAAGAGGGGAGTGAAAAAAGAGAATTTCCCCTTCACATAGCACTTTTAGTCTCTTTCAGCAGTCTATACTTCTATGATCACATTATCTTCTCAAAATCTTATGTTTACCTTTTTTTCTACTTATCTTTGTTTAACACAGTCATCCAATCAGCATTCTTAACAAATTTAAACTCTTAACATTGGGAGTGTATCACTTTCTTCATGCTGTGTTCTCATATAAGACTAACCGGGATATTTTCACACGGCTTGTTGAATAAGCCACATTATAGTCATAATGGTAAATAAAAAAAAGTGGATTCATGCATTTGCCTTTGCTTTATGTTGCTTGTGCTGCCTTGCAAATGCCTTTCATTTCTGCAAATGCATTGAACATATGAATGATTCTTCTTAACAGGAGAAAAAGAATTCACCTTCATGTTGAAAATATTAAGATATAATTTGAGGAAAGGCCACCGAAGGATAAAATGGTTCACAGTTGGGCATGGGTATGACGTAAAAATAATTATGCTAGATAAATAATTCATCTAGTTCTACTAGATGAATTCTAATACAACAGAACAGGAAAGGAAAATAAATCAATTCCCTTGGAATAATTCTTATTGGAATTATGGCCTTCTAAGTTTAGGAGAATTTAAACTGTTACCATTTGATTAAAAAAAATCCTGCTGTTTACTAGATTAATGTAAATATTACCAGTAATTAAGCTTTACTTGGAGGAAAAAAAACTATTTAATCTAATTTAACTTTCTTTGATTCTTTCTAATTAGACATTTAATTAGTTTGATTCTGCTAGCAAATCAACTGCTTGTCAAGTCATAAATTGATAGTGCTAAATATCATATTTTTGGGTCACTTAAATTAGTCACTCATTTTTATTTACATAAGCAAGAACAGGTGGAGGAAACTAATATTTTTTTGTTCCCAGGGGAGTAATTCCCTAGCTATTGAGGCAAAAGAATCTTAGGATTTTTAAAAATATCATTTCATTATAATGCTTGCTTGTGAAAAACTTGGTGGTTACTGATATTGAGAATTTTGACATTGCAGGATAAAGCATATATCCCTGTCAGTTTACAATGTCGTGTTTCATTAGTTTTCATATGTGTGGCTTAATGTGACAATTTTGCAATTAAAATGTGCAATTTGTTCAAATTCTGCTAGCATCAGAAATCTGTGATGGGCAATATTCTAAAATGTTAAATGTTGAATTTGGCCTAGGGGCAAGTTTTGTTTATAAACCCGCAAGCCCAGTCTGGAAGTCATTGTACCTGATCATATATAACACTAAATCAGACTTTTACAACATATTACCTTTTTGATGTGTTGAGCTTCATGTCTTCCAGTCTCACAGTACTAACAGGGACTAATGGGAGTTGTAGGCAATTTACTAGAAAACTTAAGATTGGAAAAAGCATCTGGAAGCTCCAATTGGTTCAAAATGCAGTGGCCATTCCAATTTTGTGCAGACCTATGTGTGCACATGTGTTACCTCTCCTGCAGGAGCTGCATTGGTTGCCAGTTTGATTCCGGGTGCAATTCAAAGTGCTGGTTGTCGCCTTTAAAGTCCTTCATTGCTTGAAGCTGGGTTATCTGAGGGAACCATCTCTTGCTGGTCACGTCCACCCGACACACGTAGAGAGAAGAGGCAAGGTCCCATCCCTAGGAGGTACATCTGATGGGACCCAGAAAAAGTGCCTTCTCTGTGGTGGCTCCCTCCCTTTGGAACATTATACCTTCAGAAATTAGACCGTCCCCCTCTCCCCTTGACACTCTTTCATAAGGCCCTGAAGACTTGGTTTTGCCAGTGGGCCTGGGGAACCCAGGTTGGGATGGAGCCCATCAAATGACATTCTTGACTGTGTGTGTTGTTGCCAGGGATGGGTGGATAGGGCTATTTTTTTAAATTCTTTTTTATATATTGTGTTCTTGTTGCCTGTAAGCCACCTAGAGCCACTATGAGTGAGTAGGCGGCCATTTAAATTCCTTAAATAAATAGACTTGGAAAGGTTGGATTTGTGTGAAGTTCAATTCTTTGTTCTTGGGAAGCGTCATGAGAAAGAATAGGAAAATATTCACTGTGGCTTAGGTTAGCTACTTCTTGTTCACGCCTCAAAGCCTGACAAACTATACTTAATATTGATTATTTTTTAAACCAAGCCATGTATAACCTCACAGGATGGATGGTGAAGCTTACTTGTTGAAGCTGCCATAGTTAATGTGATTAGTTAGTGTTCAATAGAGGATAGAATTTGGACATCATATTAAACAGGTTAATTAAAACTGGAAAGGAAATATCTCAGACAAATTAGAAGAAGGGAGTAATTATGTAATGCTTTCCTTATTCTTCTCTGAAAATATTAGTATACATAGAATAAAGCTCATACCATTGCACCCGAGCTCCACAAAGGCAGAATAAGATACAGTACTCGGCAACTCGATTGTCCTCTGTTACAATGCAAGACAGCATAAATTATGCAAAATTCCAAGTGTTGCCACTTGAACAATTATTCACTTACTTGAAAAGGCTGAGATTTGATGGCCGTTCCCCATACACGTAACGCATATTTACATGCATAGCCTGTTGCAGGCTGCCCATTGAGAATATAAGGTTGAAGAAGTATAGAATAGCAGGCATTGTAGAATACTTTTATGTCAGGCATTCAATACTGGGACTCTTCTTTGACAGCCATTTTT